GGCTATTTCTTTACAGAAGATGCGATATGCATTAAACAGAGGAAGCAACCTCTTAGGGAAGCAACAATAAACGCTGTGGACTATCACAGTAGATAAATGCCTGTAAATACAGGTGGTGGCATTGTACATTCGACTTGAAGAAATGCTACGATTGTTTCCGAGAAATTTCTCTCCAATTAATATACCTAACGGTATAAGAATTATTTATACGCTGTAAAGGTTATACCTTATTATTCAGTCTATGTTGACTTTCTCAGAGATTCTATTTTCATCATTTCTTGGGGAGATGACATTTTCGAGTTTTACTTTATTGATAACTGGGGATACATGGCATGTTATTTCTTGTCTACAAAGTTTTCAGGTTTGAGTTTATAAAGTGGGAATACAGATACTATTCCTTTATACTTCAGACAACTCCGCACATTCATTAGGGATACCAGTGAATAATAGGTTGTTATGCTAATACAACGAGGGAGTTGCATCGTTTTTTTTTTTTTATTATTGACTATTAGTTATTGTATGCATGTCACGTTTTCATTATACTGCATGAATTTTATGATGTTACATGTTATGTTGTATGCTTTCATTACGTATTGGAGTAGTTTTCATAAAATTGAAGATAGGAAACAATTTTGTTAAAAAGTGTGTAGGGCGAATGTAACGAAATATAGGCAGAAAGGGGTTAAATGAACAAGCATACATTTCAGACCACCACACAGCGTACTAATCCATCACTGTGTGAAATGACAGAATGGGTGATTAGAAAGCCATGGCCTAGCCATCTATGCAGAACACACCGCCATGACATCTGACAGTGAGGGATGAAACATTCGACGAGTGCCCGTGAGCTGAGACCAACTGACGAGATACGTTCATCCAAACGTGACCACCAAGGACAGGTGACAGGGAAGTGATTAAGATGGTACGCCAGGAGGAGCGGGAAAGCGGTGGAATAAAGTCAGAGCCAGGGGCTTGAGAAGTTAGTTAGTCCCGGAACCGCTGGAGAGGACAGTTAGCCCCGGAACCGCCATGAGAAGACAGTTAGGGCTAGACCGCTAAAGAAACCGGTTAGGAGAAAACTAGTGCTGTACTTCGTTAGAAGGTATATGTTAAACTTGGAGTCTAGCTAGAACAGTGAGTTAGTCCCGGAACCGCTGGAGAGGACAGTTAGTCCCGGAACCGCTGGAGAGGACAGTTAGCCCCGGAACCGCCATGAGAAGACAGTTAGGGCTAGACCGCTAAAGAAACCGGTTAGGAGAAAACTAGTGCTTTACTTCGTTTAGAAGGTATATGTTAAACTTGGAGTTTAGCCAGAACAGTGGTTAAGGAACTCGTAGAGGCATACGAATAGCCAGTAATAAGGAGTGTTCATATACTATTGCTTATTGAATTTATGAACGTGTGTGACGAGAATATTATGAATAAACCAGCTCTTATGTAATTGATTACATCACTGGCCTTGTTCTTGAGTACGATTGAAGAGAGATACGAACCATATTCATTCCACTTGGCCGACTTAGGCACATCTATTTCTTGGGGGATGTATAGGCACGACTGTGCTACACTAGGAAGAAAGCCAAGAAGAGACCTTGGTGCAGGTGTATTCAGAAAAAAAAAATGCTAAGTGCAAGGCTACAGTGCATTCTTAACTCAACGCTTAGATACAAAAACAGATACAGGAGCAGCCTTCGGGTGATTTGAAAGAACAATTAACTAAACTTCCCATAAAACATTCATCCAAACAGTTTCATTCATTGCATTAAAGACAGCCTTACATTACATTTTCTTAGAACACGCATTCACACATTCATACACACATACATAAATATACACACTCATTCACACTCATACACACTTTTACACACTTTTACACACAGTCACACGCTCTAAAACACACACACAAACATACATAAACACACGTAGCCGCACAAAAAGACTCATACAAACAAACGCACACAAACAAACATACATACACACGCGAAGCCGCACAAAAAGACCCATACAAACACACACACCGGCGCACACAGACATAAACCCACACAAACACACACATGCAGTCACAGGCACTCACACAAACACATACACACACGCAGGCAGGGACACACACAGACACACACATAGACATAAGCAACACTCACACATACACACACAGGCATACACGCAAACGCTTAAACCGACACAAACAGAGACACGCAGACATTATATAATAGACACACCGATAGAGACACACACAGATACACACAAAGCCACACACATAGACACTCACAGCCACACACAGATACACATAGATAGATAGATAGATAGATAGATAGATAGATAGATAGATAGATAGATAGATAGATAGATAGATAGATAGATAGATAGATAGATAGATAGATAGATAGATAGATAGATAGATAGATAGATAGATAGATAGATAGATAGATAGATAGATAGATAGATAGATAGATAGATAGATAGATAGATAGATAGATAGATAGATAGATAGATAGATAGATAGATAGATAGATAGATAGATAGATAGATAGATAGATAGATAGATAGATAGATAGATAGATAGATAGATAGATAGATAGATAGATAGATAGATAGATAGATAGATAGATAGATAGATAGATAGATAGATAGATAGATAGATAGATAGATAGATAGATAGATAGATAGATAGATAGATAGATAGATAGATAGATAGATAGATAGATAGATAGATAGATAGATAGATAGATAGATAGATAGATAGATAGATAGATAGATAGATAGATAGATAGATAGATAGATAGATAGATAGATAGATAGATAGATAGATAAAACCCGAAAGGGACCAATAAAGGAGGTTACCTAAAGATATAAATAGATAGGAAATCCCTGTTACACTTTGACGGCTAGCCCCTACAGGAAATAAAGTGTCTGGTACAAGAATGACACCTTGGTAAACTATCTCCCTATTTAGTGTCAGTATCAATACCTACTTTAACGGATACGTCGTCGGTGAGTTCTTTTTCAGTTATGGTATTTCTAATATATGTGAGTTTTCTTTTTCAAATAATAGTTCTCTAAGGTAAGTTAGTCACTTGTCAGTGAAGACCAGCAGTATCTACTGTCGAATATTTTCATTTGTGAAGAGAAGGTAGCCCTTTTTCTAGAGTCTACTGTGAAATAATTTTCTGGGAAAATACTATGATTCGTAAATTTTTTACCATACTTAGTGAATGCGCTCAAAACTGATACTTACCAAGTGCATGTCTGGCCTCTATCTGGCAAATTTACATTCAGTACAGGGGTGAGACAGGGTTGTGCGGTCTCCCCCCTCTTCTTGTTGAATACATACTTAGATGTAATGTCTAAAGTAGCCAGTTTTTAAAGCTGTCGATCCAGAAATGAGGCATTTTACATTACACAGGAAGAATTAGAATAACAAAACGAGCTAATGTTGAGAGAAAACCAATGCCCTTTCTTCAATGATTGGTGTAGATTACACGACCATTTAAACAGGCTACGTTCAACACGCAGAAGAATTTAACATAAACTGAAGTAACGTGGGTCAACATTCGTAGTCCGCTACATACTCGGGTTGAACTGTACTTGTCTGAAGCAAGGTACATAATTTGGCACTCTTTCGAATAATTTGAACATCTAGGAAGTATATTCTCGGCAGACTGAAGAGTGGAGGGGGGAACAGAAGCAAGATGCCAAAGAGCCTATGCATGTCTATACCAACTGACGCTGTCATAGAGACACCAAAAACTTAAGTATGACCGCCAGGAAACAGACTATAGTTCTAAGAAACAGATTATAAACAGTATATTTATACTAGCACTGTGCTACCAGTGCTGGACTTGAACATTATTCAGGGCTCACCTACGTGAAATTAGCACCTGGAAAATAAAATTAGCACATGTAATGTCAGCCATACATGTAATGTCAGCCATATATTTAATGTCAGCCACACATGTAATGTCAGCCATATATTTAATGTCAGCCACACATGTAATGTCAGCCATATATGTAATGTCAGCCATATATGTAATGTCAGCCATACATTTAATGTCAGCCATACATTTAATGTCAGCCATACATTTAATGTCAGCCATACATTTAATGTCAGCCATACATTTAATGTCAGCCATATATATAATGTCAGTCACACAGGTAATGTCAGCCATACATTTAATGTCAGCCACATAGTGTAATGTCAGCCATACATGTAATGTCAGCTACATAGTGTAATGTCAGCCACACATGTAATGTCAGCTACATAGTGTAATGTCAGTCACACATGTAATGTCAGCTACATAGTGTAATGTCAGCCATACATTTAATGTCAGCCACATAGTGTAATGTCAGCCATACATGTAATGTCTGCTACATAGTGTAATGTCAGTCACACATGCAATGTCAGCTACACATGTAATGTCAGTCACACATGTAATGTCAGTCACACATGTAATGTCAGCCACACATGTAATGTCAGCCACACATGTAATGTCAGTCACACATGCATTGTCAGTCACACATGTAATCTCAGTCACACATATAATGTCAGTCACACATGTAATGTCAGTCACACACGTAATGTCAGTCACACATGTAATGTCAGTCACACACGTAATGTCAGTCACACATGTAATGTCAGTCACAAAGGTAATGTCAGTCACACACGTAATGTCAGTCACACACGTGATGTCAGTCACACATGTAATGTCAGTCACACACGTAATGTCAGTCACACATGTAATGTCAGTCACACACGTAATGTCAGTCACACACGTAATGTCAGTCACACACGTAATGTCAGTCACACACGTAATGTCAGTCACACATGTAATGTCAGTCACACACGTAATGTCAGTCACACACGTAATGTCAGTCACAAAGGTAATGTCAGTCACACACGTAATGTCAGTCACACATGTAATGTCAGTCACACACGTAATGTCAGTCACACATGTAATGTCAGCCACACACGTAATGTCAGTCACACACGTAATGTCAGTCACACATGTAATGTCAGTCACAAAGGTAATGTCAGTCACACACGTAATGTCAGTCACACATGTAATGTCAGTCACACACGTAATGTCAGTCACACATATAATGTCAGTCACACATGTAATGTCAGTCACACATGTAATGTCAGTCACACATGTAATGTCAGTCACACATGTAATGTCAGTCACACATGTAATGTCAGCCACACATGTAATGTCAGTCACACATATAATGTCAGCCACAGATGTAATGTCAGTCACACATGAAATGTTAGCCACAGATGTAATGTCAGTCACACATGTAATGTCAGTCACACATGTAATGTCAGTCATATATGACGTATCACTCAGACATGTTATGTCCGTTACACATTTAATGTCAGTGATGGATGTAATGTCAATCATGTCGCTATAAGCACTACAGTATAACGTTCTGACTTGTGCTCCGGCTTACTGTTTAGTTCCGGTTGTATCTAAGTGACACCTTTCATCGCATGTTATACACAAACACAGAGAACTGCCCTCCATCTCCATTTACCAAGCATAGTACAAGGACAACACAGTTACTTACAGGGACAACACAGGTACCCGCCAAAGGAGTGACACAGGGACAGCACATTTACACACAGGCTCGCTTGCTGCGGGAGGGGACCCGAGACGTGTCAACAGGTCAGACATATACTGAGACCGAAGTTGTTTTCTGTGGCGATGGTGTTCACTGGTGTTGTTATTATTCGGATGTAGGACTGGAAGTTGTCACCCAGAAGTCGACAAGGAGCAGACATAAAGATGGCCACCACCAAAAGTCTGTTTGTGCCTGACGTCTGCGGGTGGCTAGGTTCCAGTTGTGTGTGGGTGTACTTCTTTCTGGCCAGCCTCCAGGTAACAGGTAGGACTCTTTGGGTTGTAGTTATTGATTCAAGTTATTATTGTGTGTTGTGATAGTTGTTTCATGTGATAATTGTGTGTTGTGATTGTTGTTTCATTTGGTAATTGTGTGTTGTGATAGTTTTTTCATGTGGTTATTGTGTGTTGTGAAAGTTGTTTCATGTGGTAATTGTGTGTTGTGATTTTTGTTTCATGTGGTAATTGTGTGTTGTGATAGTTGTTTCATGTGGTAATTGTGTGTTGTGATTGTTTTAATTGTGTGTTGTGATTGTTTTTTTAATGTGGTAACGGTGTTGTAATTGTTGTTGCATGTGGTATTTGTGTGTTGTGATTTTCGTTTCATGTGGTATGTGTGTGTTGTGATTGTTGTTTCATGTGGTAATTGTGTGTTGTGATTTTTGTTTCATGTGGTATTTGTGTGTTGTGATTGTTGTTTCATGTGGTAATTGTGGGTTGTGATTGTTGTTTCATGTGGTAATTGCATGTTGTGATTGTTGTTTCATGTGGTAATTGCGTGTTGTGATTGTTGTTTCATGTGGTAATTGCATGTTGTGATTGTTGTTTCATGTGGTAATTGTGTGTTGTGGTTGTTGTTTCACGTGGTAATTGCATGTTGTGATTGTTGTTTTGTGTGGTAATTGCGTGTTGTGATTGTTGTTTTGTGTGGTAATTGTGTGTTGTGATTGTTGTTTCGTGTGGTAATTGTGTGTTGTGATTGTTGTTTCGTGTGGTAATTGTGTGTTGTGATTGTTGTTTCATGTGGTAATTGTGTGTTGTGATTTTTGTTTCATGTGGTAATTGTGTGTTGTGATTGTTGTTTCATGTGGTAATTGTGTGTTGTGATTGTTGTTTTGTGTGGTAATTGCATGTTGTGATTGTTGTTTTGTGTGGTAATTGTGTGTTGTGATTGTTGTTTTATGTGGTAATTGCGTGTTGTGATTGTTGTTTCATGTGGTAATTGCATGTTGTGATTGTTGTTTTGTGTGGTAATTGTGTGTTGTGATTGTTGTTTCATGTGGTAATTGTGTGTTGTGATTGTTGTTTTGTGTGGTAATTGTGTGTTGTGATTGTTGTTTTGTGTGGTAATTGCATGTTGTGATTGTTGTTTCATGTGGTAATTGTGTGTTGTGATTGTTGTTTCATGTGGTAATTGCATGTTGTGATTGTTGTTTTGTGTGGTAATTGTGTGTTGTGATTGTTGTTTCATGTGGTAATTGCATGTTGTGATTGTTGTTTCGTGTGGTAATTGTGTGTTGTGATTGTTGTTTTGTGTGGTAATTGTGTGTTGTGATTGTTGTTTCATGTGGTAATTGTGTGTTGTGATTGTTGTTTCGTGTGGTAATTGTGTGTTGTGATTGTTGTTTCGTGTGGTAATTGTGTGTTGTGATTGTTGTTTCGTGTGGTATTTGTGTGTTGTGATTGTTGTTTCATGTGGTAATTGTGTGTTGTGATTGTTGTTTTGTGTGGTAATTGTGTGTTGTGATTGTTGTTTTGTGTGATATTTGTGTGTAGCGATTTTTTGTTTCAGGTGGTAATTGTGTGTTTTGATTGTTGTTTCATATGGTAATTGTGTGTTGTGATAGTTGTTTCATGTGGTAATTGTGTGTTCTGATAGTTGTTCCTTGTGGTAATTGTGTGTTGTAATAGTTGTTCCATGTGGTAATTGAGTGTTGTGATAGTTGTTTCATGTGGTAATTGTGTGTTATGATTGTTGTTCCATGAGATAATTGTGTGTTGCGACTGTTGTTCCATGTATTAATTGTGTGATTTGATAGTTGTTCCATGTGGTAATTGTGTGATGTGATTGTTGTTTCATGTGGTAATTGTGTGTTGTGGGCTGCACCACACACAAGACTCAGTAGCTCAGGCAGCGAAACTGTAGACTACCGTCCATATGTATCAACTGCTTTAGCAAAGCACTATGGGTAGCAAAAATAACTATGATGTCCTGTCTATTCCCCCTTTGAGACCGGAAGTAATATTGCCTGTACTGTGTCCACTGCGTTAGTGATCTGACAAGCTCAGTACGTGCAATGACGTCATTGCAAGGGAATGAACGTTGTTACATATGTTAACCCGACTAAGGAATCTGGGACACACAGATAAGCCCAGGACACAGATAAGCCCAGGACACAGATAAGCCCAGAACACAGATAAGCCCAGAACACAGATAAGCCCAGAACACAGATAAGCCCAGAACACAGATAAGCCCAGGACACAGATAATCGGGTGTTTCTCAAACAGTTTAGCGCCTCTCACTGAAAACAATCGCCCATCATCATCATTATCATCATCATCATCATTATCATCATTATCATCATCATCATCATTATCATCATCATCATCATGTGCCACCCCGAAAAGCATAAGTGGTCATCATGATACGTCTTCATAATCTGTAATCATGATCTGTAATCGTGATCTGTAATCATGATCTGTAATCGTGATCTGTAATCATGATCTGTAATGGTGATCTGTAGTCGTGATCTGTAATCGTGATCTGTAATCATGATCTGTAATCACGATATGTAATAATGATGTGTAATTGTGATCTGGAATCATAATATGTAATCTTTATCTGTGATCGGGATCTTTCATCACAATGTGTAATCAAAATCTGTGATTATAATTTTTAAATGTCATCTGTAATCATGATCTGTAATAATGATGTGTAATCATAATCTGTGATCGTTATTTGTAATCATGATCTATTATGATAATTAATCATGACATGTAATCATCATCTATAATTGTGAGATGTAATCGTGATGCGTAATCAATATCTGTAATTACGATCTGTAATTGTGACAAAGTCCGGCCATCGGTGCACATGCTGATGATGTTAAGCCAACGGTTTGTTGACACTAAAACATAAAGGCATGTGAGGACGCCAGTACGGGACAAACAACTACAACATTCACACAAGGAACCAGGGCACAACCAATGACACTGTAACCTTTAACCTTCTGTGCAATCCCTGGGCTCCTGAAGGTCAGACTGATGCACATATGTGGAATGAATCAGCGAGACTGATGTTATCAAAGTGTACCTCTGTGTACATGTCGTTATCAATATTACCCAAAACATCAGCTAAAAATAACGATGATGATCGCCACAAGCTCCATTAGGTCGCTCCGTGATCTGTAGATCATAGTCCACATCAAGGTAAGCGGGGAGGGGATGCAGGGGCGCCCGCAGATCAAACAGACATCAACACACAGCGGTTTCTCAGTGGTATTGACACCTACACAAGGCAAACATTGTTGCACTGACGCAAGTCATCTCCCGGGGACATAGTCGTGTCTGTTGATCTTCTAGTCCTGCCTACTGATCGGCTGATCCTATATGTTGATCTACGACAAGGTTGTCTACACGACACCTGTTTATTTTGTGCCAAGACACAAACGAATGAACTTAAAAGTTTATCGTACATCTACCCTTGATGAAACAGAGAGGCTATTGGATTGAAAAGTAAATATTTGATCAAATTTAAACAATGACGGCTAACAAAACAGTTTTAACTAATGTTAACAACCAAGATTTCCAGTTTCAGTTAGTTAATGATTCAAAATCACAGTTGTCAGCCCCAGGAGTCAAAGTAACACGTTTGCCATAGAAGCGATTTTGGAGAGTTGAATCCTCGATGAAAGGTTCAGACCAGGTTTGATACACAGGGTGAGGAGTCACCAAACATCAATACTGGATCTGTGGCTGTATGAGAGGCTAGGTGACAGTCACCCCTGTGCTAACATTGGCGAATGAAGGAGATCTGTAATTCTCCATGTGAGAGTGTGCGTGACCAGGTGTCAAGTGACCTGCCGTTGCAGCCCATTCTCCTGTATATCATTATCAAATATCAAAGCAAACGAGAAATAGGACTAGTCAAATCACCAGCAGCTAGAATTGATCCGGGTCCCTGAGAATGACGTGTTTCGCAACGCCTGAGCCACAGTCACCGAAGAGTTGGGAAAGAATTGCCCAGCCTCTCCGAGTGACGTCATGACTGTTCTAAGGTAGAATATCCCAGCCATCCCAGCAAATAAGACAGCACACAAGTGTCAGTAGGTGTGTTTCTTACGTCACACATCTGTGTTTATTTCTGGTGGCACTGGCACCAAGTAACATTTGGTACTTGTCGCGATAAGAGACCCAACAAGGATAGTGACCTCCCTTCCCATTGATGCCGGGATCTGGTGTAGCGCCTGTACTATGTGGCGGGGGTTTTAGGGGTAGTGAGTCATATTCTACTCCTGGTCAGCGCCGGCGATATCGCGTCTTCTATGCTGTGACCGCTTTTAACGATCCCAAAACATGGACAAATAAACCTATCCGCCCCCCTCCCCCACTACCCAACAGCATCCGCCTGTATCACGACTGTATGCAGCCTTGAACTTGTACTTAAAAATGCGGGTACCGCGTTCAGCCTGCCACGAGGGCTTGGCTTTATTTATAGTAACAACACAGGCTTTTATTTGCTTAGGTTTTTGGCTGTCAGTTTTCATGTTTCAATGGCGGGTCTGTGAATCTATTGTTTGGTTTTTGTCGCATTGGGACGGGATCTTTGACAGCCCTGATAAGGACTGTCAGTTTTGCCTGGGACAGCACTGAAACAGGTATGGGCGGAAGTAATTCGAGTGGTAGAACAACATGCTTGACTGGTTTCGAGCTGCGGGATTTCTTGGGTCAGATGAACTGGCTTAGTATCCTGGTATGTCGTCGGTTTCTTTTGGGGCTGTTTCTGATTGGCGACCTAGTTTTGGATCGGTCTGCTATTTGAAGCTGAATGTGTATGGTTTGATACTGACCATTTTTTTAGTGCCTCTCCTGCTATTTCTTTTTAGCTGCTTTTCCTGCTTCTTCTCTGTCTGCCGCTTCTATTGCTATTCAGTCTTCTTCCTCTTATGCTTCTTCATTTGCCCTTTCTGCAGCTTTTGTTTTTGTTTTACTTGCTTCTGACGCTTAGATAGGTGGTGATGAGAGTACTTCTGTAAATATGGAGAA